AGCCCCATAGAGGTAAGGATGGAAAGATGTCAGACTCTTTACTATAGCAAGGAGTTCCCTCCATGTTACACGGTAGTTCCTCTGTGGTCTACACAGAACCCAACTGAAGTAGGCCACCACATGTTCGTTTTCACCCACTTTCTGAGACAACACTCCTCCAATTCTAACATTACTAGTATCACAATCCAGTATGTATGGCAGTGAGTGATTTGGAAGCTTTAAAAGTGGAGCTGAGGCCAATTTTTCTTTCAGTGTTTTAAAAGCATACTGGCAAGAAACTGTCCAATCGAACTTCTGGCCTTTTTTTGTTAAATCATGTAGTGGAGCAGCTACAGTTGCAAAGTCCTTCATAAACTTCCAGTAATAGGTACAGAGTCCCAAGAAACTTCTTAACTCTCCCACATTGTCTGGTGTTGGCCAATCACGCACTGTTTTCACCTTGTAATGATCAGTTCTCACACCATGCTCACTTACAATGTGACCCAAGTAAAGCACCTCTTTCTGGAACAAGTGACATTTCTTGGGATGGTGTTCGAGGTTTGCTGCTTTCAAACGCTTGATTACTTCCTGTTGTCTGGGGCTGATTAGGTGCATGGTTAATATATCCTCTTTGTGTAAAAGACAGTAAATCATCCTTTAATGTATTTAATTCACTTTGAAATTTACTAATGTTTTCCATTTGTGTACTCTGGCTTTCTCTCAATTGCTGTAATCTCTCTTCTTGTTTATTTTCTTTCTCCTCCGAGAGATTACAGCAGTTGTTGGAGGGAAAGAAAGAAACAAGAAGAACGAGAAAAGAAAGAAGAAGAACGACAAAGAAACAAGAAGAGAGATTACAGCAGTTGTTGGAGGAAAAAGAAAAGAAACAAGAAGAACGAGAAAAGAAACAAGAAGAATGACAAAAGAAACAAGAAGAGAGATTACAGCAGTTGTTGGAGGAAAAGAAAAGAAACAAGAAGAACGAGAAAAGAAACAAGAAGAATGACAAAAGAAACAAGAAGAGGGATTACAGCAGTTGTTGGAGAAAAAAGAAAAGAAACAAGAAGAACGAGAAAGGAAACAAGAAGAGAGACTACAGCAGTGGTTGTTCTAGAAAGATCGGGGAACATCATGAATAATCCAGTATTTGCTAGGTGCCCTCTATTCTTGTATATAAGTACGCCAGACAATTAATCGGCATGGTATAGCGACAGAGAGATTGAAGATATAGACGGACAATTGAGTCAAGCGCTGTAGTAAGTAAAGTGCGTGAATCGTTCGTTGAGAAGTATAGCGCATGTTTAAGTGACTGTGGAAATTAAGTGTATTGCAAAGTTGTATTGAGAAAGAATAAACTAGTTTTATTTAAGAAAGGATTTGTATCGCTGAGGTTTCTCGGGAAGAATTTCTACCTGAAATTATCAAACGAGCAGAGACGTAACAAATTGGTGTCAGAAGCGGGATAGAAAAAAAAAGATGGAAACGAGAGGTGGCAAATCAAACTACAGCTTAGCAGATTTGGTGGCAGCAATACAAGAACAGCAAAATAAACAAGAAGAACGAGAAATTAAACAAGAAAAGCATTACGTGTTACCAGAGTCACGTCACTTCCTCTTTCGTAACAATATTAAAATATTTACTTTTTAAGAATCTGTGGGTCGCGAGTTTGAATCCCTATAATCCAACACGTTCGCCATTTCAATCGTGGGGGGCGTCATAATGTGATGCTCAATTCCACTATTTGCTGGTAAAAGAGTAGCTCAAGAGTTGGTAGTGAGTGGAGTTGACTAGTTGCCTTCTTTCTGGTCTATCACTTCCAAATTAGAGACGGCTAGCGCAGATAGCCCTCGAGTATCTTTGAATGAAATTCAAAATAAACCAAACAAACTTTTTAATTAAAGGGACAGAAAACATATAGTACATTCCCGTACGGCACTAACACTAATATTTTTATGACATGTATGATTAATTATAATCACGCTTCGTCACCTCAGAAAAAGCATTCATACTGTTATGACAGCGGAAGTCACGAGACGCTGGTAACAGTGATGAATTTCTCGAATGATCATGAATTATCGGGGAAGACCGAGTTTGTTCAGGACGCCCTCTTTTTTAGTATATAAGCCTGTCAGGGAAAGCCAACGGGATTGATTGAATGAAGAAAGTCCCGGGTAATTTACGATTCTGTTTCGAGCTAGTGTGTGTTTTCGAGATTGTGAATTGCTGTGATTTATAGCGTGTGTTATAAAAGTAGTTAAGTTTAAAGCGACGAGAAACGTATTGAATGTGGAATTACTCTGTATTAAAAGTTTGTATTGAGGAAGAATAAACTGGTTTAATCAAGAAAAGACTTGTATCGCTGAAGTTCCTCGGAAATGATCAAACAAGCAGATAAAACAATACCATAACCATTTTCGACATCAGAGTGACTTTCTTTCTACTATTCAAGATTCCAGCATCCTTGGATGGGCTTCAAGTGAGATAGTATTAAAAATCGAAAAACTTTGTGGGTATACAAGTTACCTCCGGCCCGGCATGGCCAGGTGGTTACGGCGCTCGACTCGCAGTCTGCGGGTCGCGGGTTCGAATCCCCGTCACACCAAACATGCTCTCCCTTTCAGCCGTGGGGGCATTATAATGTGACGGTCAATCCCACTATTCGTTGGTAAAAGAATAGCCCAAAAGTTGGCGGTGGGTGGTGATGACTAGCTGCCTTCCCTCTCGTCTTACACTGCTAAATTATGGACGGCTAGTGCAGATAGCCCTCGTGTAGCTTTGTGCGAAATTCAAAAACAAACAAACAAGCTATCTCCAGATTCGAAGATCTCGTTATCATCCGATGAGATTGTAAAAAAAATATGTATCCTGGTGTTCAAAACAAACAAACAAAAAAACAAAGCAATCTTAACAACCACTCCATAGACTTCCGACACAACTTTAAACCTAGAAAAGTTTGTTATTAATATTATTTGTTTCCAATAGTGTAAATTAATTTTAGTTTAACATGCACCTAAGCTAATAATATGTATTATTTCAAAGTGTTCTTTGTCGTGTTGACTTCAATAGGTTAAAAATAAACGTAAAGAAAAACATAAAAAAAACCAAAAAACATCGAGAGTAGCAAGGTTATTTGAACGTTTGGTGGTCACTGGTTAGGAAGCCTATTGCATTGGGTGGTACTACTACAGTGAATGTGGAAATGCATTTTGTATGGTATTGATATCTAAACCTCTGCCGGTAGATATCATACTATTAATTTAATATTAATTCAGTCATAAATGATTTTGAAATTTTTTCAGTGTACTGTATTTCTTTAATTTTTTGTAAAACCTCCAGTAAGTGAAAAGTTCTTGAAAACATGAAATATGATGTTTCGAACTTACTTGATTAGGCCTAGGTTACATTTAATTTTAACTTTTTATTTTCTGGTGTAATTGTAATGTAAAACAGACGCAAATACACGAAAGAATAAATGTAACAATATTTTCACTGCAATGCATTCAAGCTCGAAGGAAAACCAAAAAATAAATAAATAAAGTACTACCTGCAGTTAAAACTAACGCTAATTTTTCTGTACTGAAACTTTCAAAATAAATTTAAAAAGTAATTGTTGAGATAAATCATAAACGCGATAACTAGGAATTTAAATGATATAAATATTATTTGAATGGGTTAATTTAGAAAATGTTATTAGATAAAATAGGTTTAAACAACGTATATATGTACATATATATAATGCATACTACCAATACCATATATATTCTGTTCACATTTTACATCTAATTCTATTTTTTTAGATTTATAAATACATTAAACCATGCCTCCTCTACCACTGGGTGATTTTCACAAAGCAGCAGCTTCTGGAGATCTTGTAGCATTGAATGTCATGCTAAAGGCTGGACGTAACATTAATGAAAAAGCAAAGCAGAACAGTTTCACTGCACTTCATTGGGCAGCTTTCTATGGGCAGTTGAAGGTATGTTAAATATACAGTATGAATTTCTTTAAACTGACTGATACAGCATCTTTATTTATGTACCTTTTGGTCTTGGAACATCATATCTGAAAATAATAGGATAATGTACATCTATATTAACCTAGTTCTTGTATAAACAAGATATGCTACCTTTACAAATGTATAAAAGTATTATACATTTATATATATAGTTTATGAAATAAGGCATACTGTGTTATATAACATTGTACTGTGCTTTTATGATAAGTTTGGACGTGTTCGTCCATTTAGGCTATCCCATTAACTAAACTGAACTGAGCTTAAAAAGAAAATAATAACTGACAGCCAGTCCTTGTTATTCAAGTATTTATCAAGCCTTCACTTAAACTTTCTTAAATTTACTGCATCCACCACATCTGAAGACAACCTATTGCAAAGGTCAATTGGCTTGTTAGAAAAATAAACTGTTTTGAACTCTTAGCTGAATATGACTTCTACCCTTTCAAAAGTTATATTTGTGTCACCTAGTCCTACTATTCTCATCATTATATATTAAAAACGATGATGCATAAACACTATCAACTCCCTTAAGAGTCTTAAAAATCTCAATCAGTTACTTTCTAACTCTTATTTCTTCAAAATAAAACAATTTCAGAGATCTAAACCAGTCTTCATATGACAGTCTTTCCATCCCAGGTATCATTCTTCTTTGAACCATTTCCAATTATTCAGTGTTCTTCCTAAAGCAAGGAGCTCAAATTGAAAACAGTACTCCAAATATGGCCTAAACTTCTAGCCTTTTATTCAACATTTTTTGTAGATACAACCTAAAATCCTATTCATCCTACCATTAGCAAAAGTATACTGCTTGGATAGCTTAATAACACTAAGATCCATTTTTTCATAACACTGATAAGGATATTCCTATCAAAATTATAACTCAAATTATGATAACCCACATGCTTTACCTTGCATCTGTTGTAATTAAAAACCATATCTCATTTTGCCCAACTCATCCAACAGCATCCTCCTCATAGCTAGCAATGCCCAAGACCTTAATATCATCAGCAAATTTAAATAATTTATTGATGAGTCCTTCATCTTTGTCATTGATGTAAATCAAAATGAGCAACAGTCCTAACATTGTGCTCTGTGGTATCCCACTTGTGACATTAATTCATTCCAACTAAACTCCATCTGTAAGAACCCTATGCTTACTTTCATCCAGCCAATTTTCTAAACAATGAGTCAATTTATTCTCACACCTACAAAAATCATCTAATAATCTAATAATCTATGGCATTTTGTCAAATGATTTTTGAAAATCCAGATACACCAAATCTACATGCTTACCCTAATCTACATAAGCATTAACCTTTTCAAAGATCATCAAAAGATTAGTAAGGCAAGATTTTTCCCTCTTGAAACCATGTTGCCTATCCAACAAAATTTTAAACTGTGTTAAATGCCTTTGGAAAGCATCTCTTATCTGGCTTTCAAAAACCTTTTCCCACCACTAATGTAAGACTAGTAAGCCTATAATTACTAGGACAATTTTTATCACCTCCCTCAAAAAAGGAGTAATATTAGCCAACTTTCAATCTTTTGGCCCCTACCCACTATTCCAGGACTTACAAAAATACTAGCAATTCACATATTGAATTATAAACTTCCTTCAAAACCCTTGGAACATACCATCTGGCCCAGGAGCCTTATCATTCTTAAACTTCCTTAATTTTTTTTTAACAAACTCAAAATTAATGTGATAATCTTGTTCAATCTTGTTTCTATCAAAAAAGTGCTCAGGATGAAGATTATTGCTTAAATCTTAATTACTAAAAATTGAAGAAAAGGTAAAACTTAATAACTCAGCCATTTCATAATTATCAGAAATGAACTTTTTATCATCCCTCAAAAACCCTATTCACATTTTGTTTGCCCTTAATGTATTAAAAGAAATCCTTATTGTTACTTTTTACAGTTTGAGTCAACCTTTTTTTTTCATTTACTCTTTTCAATTTACTAATGTTCTGTTTGGCCTGATTAAATGACCCATGAGATTAAAAATCTTACATTTTCACTTTGAATAAGTATATTATGTACAGATATATATTTAGCTGATTTCTGTCGGTTTAAAATTCAAATATTTTTTCTAATATTTGTTTAAATTATTGAGTTTGATATTGAAAATATTTAGAAATAAACTCAAACAAATACTTCAGTACAAATTAATCTGATTATAATTATTTGGCATTGGGTTGTTATACTTAACTTATTATAGTTTAACTCTATGTATACCTCTTGTTTGTTGTAGTAGGCATTTCAAACTTCTTTGCTTGCAGGAGGGAGAAGAGGGGTGATCAAGTTTTTATTTTATTTTTTAAAAATTTCCATCAAAGATAGATGTTTTGTATTTTTTTATGTTCAACCTTAGTTTGTACTTTGTATTAGTAAATCAGTTGTACCAATTTTTATATTTGTAGAACACATTATTGCATAATTGAAATTATAAAATTACGAATATCTTATTAGGCCCCTAAATTTTTAACTCATTACCAAATTACAAAATCTAGGAGCCAGGTACCCCTAAGGAATTTGTCTAACTTTGAATCCTGATGTATGAATTATTAGAAATTACATAAATTAATATTTTCAGTACTTTTGAAATTTTCAGATTTAATAATGCTATATCAGCAAGTTCTGTTAGATTAATTTGGGATCTTTCTAACAATTTAAAAATTGTTTGTAATACTTGATATAATAATAAAGCTGGCTGTTATAATGATTTATGTGTTGATATATATACTCCTCATACATCTTATTTTAGAGTGTCCAGTGGCTCTTATGGTCCAAAATTGATCCTTCAGTCAGTAGTTCACAAGGATGGACCCCTGCACATATTGCTGCTATCAAAGGTCATTACCTTGTACTTGAGGTAAAACTAGATTACATATATGCATATGTATATGATTATGAAAACCTTAATATAATGTTTTTTTATCTTTCCATAGAGATGTTTCAAATCAAGCATTGATCTGTGATTTTCCCAAAAATGTATCAATGCTAAACAAGAAAAAAAAAGGCAAATTAAAACAATTTATTAATTGCATTATTGTTCACAACCTGTCTTTATAATTATTCATAACGAAAGTCCAACTAATTGGTAAGATTCATATAAGTCTTTTCTTTAACTACAATGAGAATCTTTAATCAAATAAAAGAAAAGATAAACGTGTTTGTTTCATTAAAAGTAAGGAATAACTTTCTCTAGTCATATTTTGTTAAAGAAAAAAATATCTTGAAAAAAAAGGATAGAAGATTTATCCTAAAATAAGAAGATGGCAAAAATTTTACTTAACAAAGGGTAATTTGATGACTAAAAGGTTACCATTAAAGTTATGAAGAAAAAATACTAAGTAATACCAAAAAAAAATATAGGTCTACCTTGATTTGTGTTATTAACAAAATGTTAGAATCAACAGTTAAAAAGTCATTGAGAAACAAACTTGGAAAGCTAGAATTTAATAAACAAAGCCCATCATAAAAGGGACATATATATGTTTGTCAATACCAGTTTCTCAAATAGTTCTGCTTTTTTTTTTTCTGAATAAGATCATCATGGCAGTGATGGTACGTATAACTTTCAGAAAACCTTTCATAAGGTATCACACAGAAGTATAATTGGTGAACCATATTATTATGAAATTGATGAAGAGACTTACAAATAGATAAAAAATAGGCGAAGTAGGAGTCCCTAAGGAGTTTGTTTTGGGGCTTTCTTGCTCATTCTGTATGTTAACTATTTTGTTGTCTTCCTAAAAGAAATTTTTCTAAATTTTCTGATGATACTTAAATACTTGTAAGGGCTGATACTTTTGACATTTTTGTATTCAGAAGGATGTGGACAGTCATAGTGACTGGAAAAACAACATGAAAAATTAATACTGAAAAGTATAAAATGATGTGCTTGAGGTATGAAACTTGAAAATAATTTATTTCTTTAGTGAGCATTGTATTGATCTTGTGGAAAAGGAAATAGATTTAGATATGATTATTGATAAAAGCTTGAAGCTTTCAGATGCACTTTAACTTCAGTATAAAAACTTGACCTGTTGTAGACATTGTTATTTTAAGAATAAGAAGGTGTCTGTAGCCATGTTGAGTTATAATTAATTATATTTGTCATAAGAAAGTAGTTTTAGACTTTCTTTATGTAGTGGTCTGGTAAATTTTGTTAATGTCTTCAACATTTAGATCTTGAATAATTTTGGAGTCCAGTTAGATAATCTGGATAATCGTGGAAACACTCCTCTACATTTGGCAGTCACCCATGGACGGCTTAATTGTGTACTGACTCTATTGAGATGTGGAATGGTAATCAGCTTTATAATTGTCTTGAAATGAATGTCCTCATAACAGAGCATGGCCAATTTTCTTCTTACAATCATTTAATACTCTAATGCTTGAGACTGAAAGATAAAATACTCACTGTTAAAATAAATAAAACTAAAGTTTCATTTGTTGAAATATATTTTTTTACTGACCAATGTAAATATAGTCATTAACACTCTGTGATGGGTGTGTGGTATTATCCACTGTTTGAAATTAATCAAAAATGAATCTCACCATTCCCATTAACTTGTAGGCAAACTATATATCTTTGAAGTGTGTTATATGTGTGTGTGTGTGTGTATATATATATATGTACATATGTATATTTTTATGTTTTGTTCAAGAAAGCCTTTTGTATTCAATATATATATATATATATATTATTTCATACATATATTTAAAAGAATTTAGAAGAAAAAAAAGGTTTTAAATATTTCTTCAGCCATGCTTCCTAAATCTTGATGTGCTCATTATCATTATTGTAGTGATACTATTTTAGTAGTGATTGGAGTAACTAGAACTGTCCTGCTTTCTTAAAGAAATGTGTAGTTTCAAAGTTGCTTCTATAATTAATTTCATTTGTAATGGTTCAGTTCCTTTTTGTTAGTGAGATCATTTCTAAGTCTTTATTATATTTGTATTTTTCTTCTGATGGCTTATTTTTATCTTCAAAGTTCAATTTACATGTAGATTTTTTATTTTAAGCTCCCTATGGCACAGAGGTATGTCTGCAGACTTATAACACTACAAACTGGGTTTCAATATCTGTGGTGGGCAGAACACAGATAGCCCATTGTCTAGCTTTCTGCATAACTACAAATAAACAAACAAGCAATTTTATTTTAAATTTTGAAGAGCTATTTTGTTTATATTTGATTATTTATATAGAAATGAGGATGAAATTATAACAATTATGTCCATAGAATTAGAATTTCAGTAACACTACTTACCTCTCCACAAATCAGGTAATTAATATTTTGTGCCACTGTCAAAAAGTTTTTGTGTATGCAGCAAGCCATTTAACCCTATTGTGACAAGTCAC